CCCCTACAAGAAGGCCCATTTGGCTCATTTTCTCTAAGGTTCTATATAAGGTAGTATTTAAGTGTCATTCCAAAGACTGAGTTCAGCACCAGATAATTTTTAAACAGGGCTAAGCTAAAGGTCAGGGATTGCTCTAGGGGTGCTTGGACCAGGTGAAGTCTTTCTGGCATCTAGGATCAGGCTTAGCAGCCTGAGGAGAAAAACATGGGCAAACAAATGTCCTAGAGAGTTTTGTTTGACTAGGCTTGCTTCTTCCGGCATGAGCTGTGTCTGCTGGAAAAGGGAAGCCCTTGATAACTATTTCCATAAAAGCATCACAGGGAAACATACACAAGAAAAAGGTAACATGCTCGGCTTTGGGAAAGACTAAGAGTTGAAGAAAGGGGAAGCAAATAGTATATTGTATTTGGTTTATACTTTTGAGTTTTTATTCATTACTAAGATGGATAAGTAGATGAACAATAAATGAACAGGTGAAATTAAATAAAATGGAAACATGCAAGGGAGATTTGTTAAAGATTTGTTAGTGGCTGAGAATACATATATATATATAATATTTATTTCACATATAAGATGCCAATTATCATGTAAGTTGATTATTTGAAATCATTACCATTACAACTGTCTTTCAGCATAAAATTCTCAGCTACTCATTTTAAAGAGAACTCAATTTATTATCAACTAATAAAATTAATAGTGAACTGTAACAATAACCTCTAGCTCAGTCACCATCTTCACTGTCTAAGAAAGAGAAGCAGCAATGTTTGCTGCCAAGACTCACAACATCAACTCTTCAGGCCATGTGGCCTTGAGAACAGATGCGAGACTCAGACTCAAGTCCAGAACACTTGGCCATGCTGGACAGCAGGATGTTTCAGAACACCAAGGGAAGGAACTTCACTGCTGTGCACTGGAGCATGATGGGTCTTTCTGAAGGGTAATATGTTATTCTTGTGCCACTTCTAACAGACCTAACCACTAAGCAGAGGTCCTATGCCTTCAAGGCACAGTGGTACCACCAAAGGGAGTGGGTCCAAGGGAGGGAAAGAGGGAAGGAGGGAGGGAAGGAGGGAGGGAGGGGAGCACAGAGTTTGGCGAAGGAAGGCAGGTAGCAACTCAGTTACCAGAGGATGTAAGGTAAGTGCAGGTGTAGACAGTAGACGTGTTACAGTAGACAGGGTCCCTGAGAAGAGATTGCATCAAAGTGTCTTTGCCTTTCAACTCTGGGTGGTTGGGTTTTTTTATACATACTTCTGTCACAAAGAACAGAGTCCTCAGTTTCTAATACACCTTGGAATTGTATAACTTGTGCAAAAAGAGCCTTAAAGTGAAAAAAGAAATTAATCAAAGCAGCTAGTTTTCATCGTCTCCTGAGAAAAGTGTCACTGACTCTTCAGATGCACCTCAAAGACCTGCAGCCCTTAAAATCCTGGGCTCTTGGTGGCCAGTTAGGGAGCAAGGTCTCCCAGCCCAGAGCCCCTGCTGCCTACAGAGGAAAGGAGAAAGGATTGCTTCTTCCTCCAATTCTTCCTCTCCTGCTAGCACATCAAGCTTCCTAAACCATACCAGCCACACCTCTCACATTCAAAAGCTTGAATCTCCTTACTGGTACTTGATATCTCTAATCACTTACCAGCATTGGATGCCTCTAAAATACAATACTCGCCCATTTCACAACCATAATTACTTCCTGTTCCAGTTGCACACCTCAAGCCATGCCTATCCCCACAGACAGTGTGGAAGCTCCAACTTTTCCTGCACTAAGCCCTCCCTGCTCAGGCTTACTACTTCGCCTAAAAACCTAAATCCCCTTGCTCCACGCTCTCAAAATGTTACTTTTTCAAATCATGGGTTTTTTTCACCCCAAGTGTCATCTTTTCTACAATTATTTTGCTCATCTATTGCTCTGGACACCTACCTAGCCAAGAGGAAGTTTCCCTCCCCTCAACCCTGAGAGTGTTTCTGTTTTTCTTAGGGCTAATAACCTTTGCATTTCAATTCGGTGACATCTCCCACTCTTTGCCAGTAGTTTCCCCCTGCCCAAGACTTGCTTCTCTTTGTACCTTGGGGTGTTCCCACTGACTTGAGCATGGACTGACTTGAGGGACTGAGTTCATGGTCACTGGAGCTACACATGCTGGCCCACACCACTCCCCACACTGGCTGTGAAGGAGATCTCGGCTTTAGGTGGAGAGCGGTGCTAGCTGTTCTCCTTCCTCTTAGCTCCAGGGTTTCCTGCAGCTTTGAGTCTCTGAACAGTCAAAGCAAAAGGCTATACTAAGCACCTTCCCCGCTCTCCCACCCCAGCCTTTAGTTCAATGTTAAGTTCAGACAGATCTCTTTTAGGATGGCTGCTTGAAATGATCTCTCACACCACACTGAAGAAGGGCTCTCCTTCCTGAGTAATGCTTACTGCTCTTTCTGGGCAGGCTGTGTTTTTCCTCTGCACACTTCTGACTCAGGCAGAGGCCTGCCTGGAGGAGTCTGAGCGTCACCCTGCTCCTATGAGCTCCAGTGCCTCCTGCTCTCCAGCGAGAGGTGAGAAAAGCACAGGCCTGAGGTATCTCATCCTGTTGTGTCTCGGTGTTCTGCTCTTCTGCAGACAGCCTGGTGCTGGGAGTTCTTGTATTCACAGAGGAGACACTGGACGCTGGGCAGGGCAGGAGGTCAAAGGGGATCCTTTTACTAATGCATCCTTCAGGGAAAAGAGACTCTGATTTGAATCTGTTTTCTGGGTAATTCAGCATCAAAAAGCCATGAGGCCTGCGACCTTGTCAAGTCTTTGTTTTGATTTGTTTTTTCCCCCTTTCCTCCAATCAGCACAGAGCACTGAGGAGTGGGTGGGCATGGGAAGTAGGGGCTGTACTGAGAGGAAACGCTGAGCCTGCAGAAGCGGCCCATTGAGAGCTCTTGCTCATAGTCTAGGGGCGGGTGGCACCCCCATCTACTGCCACAAGGGCAGCTCTGTCCTGCGGGCATAGGGCTCTATCCCAGTCCCACTGGCTGAGAGAAAACAACATTTCCTTATAAGGCCCCGGCTGCCTTGCCAAGGCTGGATGGCTCCAAGAGACTGTAGCTTTCCATTCTCCTGCCGGTTCCAGTGCAGGCCTTGAATGTAGCCCTTGTTGTCAGGCCCCTCCTCTCCTCCACAGCCCCCACCCCACCCATTTCCACTCTCTGCCAGAGCCAGCCCCACTGGCGCAGGATAAACAGACCAGCGGCCTCTCCCACGCAAGGCCTGCTGCGGCTCAGGCCTGCTGGAGGCAGCACAGGGTAGCAAAAACAGCACGGGTGCTGGGTGCTGAGGTGCCGCCTGCCCTGTGGTTACCTTACAAGTGTGGCTTCAGCAAAGGTCCTGACTTCTATGAGCGGTTCCTCTTCTGGAAAATGAGGATCTAATTCCCTAGGGGCCAAATGTTTTTCCTTGTATCCAAAGCCCTACTCAGGCCAAGGCCTAGCCTATATTCACTATCCCTCCAAGGCCGGATTCCTCCTCCAAGCGCTTCCTTTCTCTCCCAAATGCACCAGGCTCTCTCCAGCCTCCACAGCTTCCAGTGCTCTGCCCCCCATGGCTCTCTAGTTACATCCTTACAGGGTCCCCACGCTATGGTGCTTTTCTCCCTTCCACAGGAAAAATGGGTTATTATTTTCTTTGTATTTTCTCCTCGACATTTGCATGCACCCCTCCAGCAGTTTTTCATAGTATAAGCAATGCCTTGTGAAAGGCCCTTATGTAAATACCTGGATGTCCCATGTTGAGTAAGCTCAAAAGAGACATTTATGCAAATTGTTTGTAAATTATGAAGTGTTATGCATTATCATGACATGTACGGTCATATGGCGTGGTGTACCATGATGCCCTCCACTCCAAATTCTACTCTTAGGTGTGAGTAAAACCTTTCCCCATCTGTCCAGTTCTATATCTTGAACTCTATGCTGGCCGAACCCTTCAGGCATCGTTAACCTCTGTTACAAAGCCTTTACTCGGCCTTAGAAGCCTGGTATTAGAGACTAAAAGGAATTTATCCAATCATTTCAACACTGGGGTCATGGCTGCCATATGGCATGCCGTGGGTAAAGGGCTCTGAGTCTCCTACCCCACTTCTTTTACTAACTATACCTGTTAGGTTCCCATATTATTCTCAGAGAGAAAAAAAATCTAGTGGCTTTAGGAATTTCAATACATTGACTAGCACAATTTCAACCTTTGACAATTGAGAAAATTGAACCTTGACAAAGAAAAGTGTCTTCATTATAGGCCACCTACAAACTTGAGACCTTACCTGGGGTTCCTGACTCCTGGCCACTGTCATGAGGGAAGTAACTACATTATCTTGTCAAGCTGGATTCTCAAGGTTTTGGGATGTCTTGAGTCCCAAATAAAGAATTTCAATCTCTGACAATACAAATCCTTCTAAAATGAGGATTCACAAGTTACTAGGTTAATGATTTGCTAGCACAGCCCAGTTAAATTCTCCAATGAGATGGTTCCTTATTCCCTAGAATCCCAAAAACTGTCTTGAAGGCAAAACTCTTATTTCTTGATAAAGCACACTATTCTCCATCAACATACTCATTATTCAGAGATGACAGCTTTAGAACAGTCTATAACAGATCATGAACTGAATTCTACAGCCCTTACTGCGCAGCCACATTCAGGAGAGAAGGTAGATCTGCCTTGGGTTCCACCCAAAAGGATTTTGTATCTTGAATGCTAAAAAGACCTTATTATCATGGGGGTTGTGTGCTGAAAATGCCTACGGGCAGACTCTTCAGGAAGTGACAAGGAGTGCTGAGCTCTGAGGTAGGCGATTAAGCTTTAGTCTTGCTTCTAACATTTAATGGGAAGCCTAAAGCAAGTCAATGGCCTGAAAGGAATTGGAGTTTTCTCAGCTAGATAACGGAAATGATGATGCCTCCAACATTCACTTTCAAAGGCAGTAACTTTAATCAATCAAGATCCTGGCTCTGAAGGTTCTTTATAAACAGCAGCAGCAACAACAAGGAAACACTATTTATTAATACAGTATTTCTCCCTCTCGGCTTATTCTCTTGGGTACAGAAGGAAAAAAATGCCCCTTTCCAGGTTCCTGTAATGTTCACTCAATCTTCAGCTCCATCATGGCCAGTGGTACCCACACTACCACTGATCACTTTCCAGGAAATCAAGAGTTGGATGGGGCACTGGCTCCTGCTGAGGAGTTGTTTCAAGGAAATTCATAGCAAACAAAGGAGCCATTCTCTCCTTTTATCCCCTCTCCTTCCTTCCCAGGTACAAAGAGAAGGGGTTTGCCAGTCTGGGCTCTGGGCAGATGGAGTGAATTTAGAAGTCATTTTTCTTCTGTGAGTCGTCATTTCCCAAAAATAAAACGAAGAGTTCAGACAGAATGAGATTTATGTTTAGGATAACGGTTTAATTTATTGCCAGACAGAAACTCCTTTAAGAACAAAAATTTGTATTAGTAGCAATTATACCACGATGGCTGTTACTGATGGGACTGTTCCGGGAAGGTGGGTGTACACATCTGATCGAGCACTGCTTCAACATGCACTATTATAGAGGAAACAAAATCTTGAGAAAAAGAAAATTCAGTGAAAAAGTGTCATATTAGCCACTTGTGAGCGACTCCACATATTCTTTTTACATTGTTCTGGTCATCAAGGACTAAGTCTATATTGCCTGAGTCTGCATATGACAAGGCACTTCGACTTCCTTTGTCTTCTGCCATAGCTCTCTGACGCAAACATGAGCAGGTGTGGCTCTCTTTTTAGATTAATTTTAAGACCTAGAGAAAGTAAAAGAATTGTCCTCAAGGTCAAGGCATGAAGGGAAACAAAGCATCTTGACCCTGGGCCTGTGCTCGTTTTTGCCATGTTAGTAGGGGAGGCATTTGCCTTGCGTATGCAGCAGGTTTTATGCAGAGCCCCTCTACCGAGATTCCTTCCTTCATTATGGCACTCAGAATAGATCTGGTTTTAGAATCTCTGAAGCCTAAGGGTGGCCAAAGTCTTAACAACGAACTAAATTGAAAATGAGGAAATTAAAGTCTAGAGTGTATCTTGTCTAAAATTGCCCATCAAGACCCAGATCCAGGTAGAATTTTAATTCCCAAATCCCCTTGTATTAACCAAACGTAAGTAAAGAAAGTAAGCGTAATTTATATCTTCTCACCTCTTTCAAGGACTCATAAATTATAGTTTGATTTTTCTGGGTTTGAGAAACTGCAGGCTATCCTCTCTTTCTTTGCAGGGCATTGGTTCTAAAGTATTGAAATGGCTACTTATTTCTTTTCTCTGTACTTCTTGTAAAGTTTAAATTAAATGCAATTTCCTAATGGAAAATTTCTGTAACTCAAAAAATTTTAACAAAATCTTTGAGTACAAAACCAAAGGGAACTTACCACACAGTGATGGACATTTGGGGCGTAAGAAATATCAGGCTTGAGTTCTGGTTCAGCTCTTCCTTTGTAGCATAATCTAGACCTCAGCATTTGTCCTCCCTAAATCTCACTTTCCTTATCTGTAAAGCATTGGATTAAGGAATGCCCCCAAATCCTTCCAATTCTAACCACCTGTGAGCATACACACTGTTAAGTGCTCTTGAGTGGGGATCAAGCTCTATTCTGTCCTTTAATCTCACAGGCGTCACAGCTGGAGAAAGTCTGATCATCACAGCTTGCTGGAGAATCTTTCATTCATTCTGCCTTCTGTTTCTTTTCCCCATGGTTAACCAGCAAAATGGCTACCTGTGCCCGCTAGAAGTGAAGAGCCCCGCCACCTTCCCCAGTACAAACCGGAGCTACTGAGTTAAGTCAGAGGTACTACTATATTGTTTAATTGGTTGGTTGTTTATAAATTAATGCAACTCTGGCAAACTTTTCTCAAGGCATGATCATTTATTTCCTTACTTCTTACCTGTGAACTGATCACCACTTTAGGGAACTGTGCTTATAAGGCATTAGGCAGTGTCAAGATTTAAGTCCAAAGGTTTCTGAAGGTAGAATAAAAATTACAAAAGACATACACAGAAAGGATTTATTTTATCCTGCTTGTGCTTCTAAGTTGAAGATCCAGAATCATGACACTTGGTCTACCAGTCTTCCTTTGCAGAAGACAGTCACGCTGATTGTGGTTGGTGTCTATTGGCTCTACTCGCTCTGCACCCACCCCTTTCTTGATGTATGTTAAGGTTCAGATAGCCCTGCCCATTTTTACCTGTCAGTGTATAGAAATCTGACATTCTTCAGAAAGCCAGTTCTCTGCATTTTGTTTAACACAGACCTTTCCCAAAAATCCACAGACAGAAGTAGATGTGCAGGGTCTATGCCATCATGGCATCACATATTCTTGACCACAAAGAAAGGTGAAAGGTGGCAAAGTTGAATCAATCCAATTTCTCCTTGGGACTTTTCTGCTCTCAGAAAAGATGGCTTTTTTCCCCAGTGGGTTTACATGGTTAGTAGAATGAGTTACACAGACAGTCATCCTGCTGATGTGTGGAGGGAGCTGCAGAGAGGAAAGCTGATGTTATTTGGGCCTCTGAATATTAGACATTTCCTTAAACATTTAATTTAGGGTAGTAAATCACCTCTCTAGTTTAGGCTAGTTTAAGTTAGGCTTCTGTCATTTGCAACTGAAAAGCATCCTGAAGCATATAGCCTTCTTGTTAAAATCTCCAGAAAACACCAAAACTTCAGAACTGAAAGAACTTCTGATGTGTTCAAGCACCTGGTATATATAGAGAGACTGACAGGATGTTCTGAAAGTTACCCAAAGAAGTTACTGGATTGGAAATTAAATTCATGAATTGATGGCCCTCAATCTAAGCCTCAAGTAGAGCCTATGTTGTTAAATACAGAAAATAGTCACTTACCTTAGAGTAGCAATCTTTCTAAGAGTCTTAGGAACTGAATGTCCCAAAATTACTCAGATGACAGTTATATCTTGCTTTTATTTTTCATAGTACCTTCTGTATGATTATAATTCCATTTTAAAATGCTTCCATTCAAATCCCATCCATTATGCACAAGTTGGTATGCCATTGGACAAGTTACTTCCATTATTGTACATTAGTTTGAATGAATTAGAAATGATAAAAACAGTACAAACTTCATAGAACTATTGTAAGCATTATGAAAATAAAGAATCCTTGTAAAGTATATGAAGCAAAACGCCTGGTATACCACACAGTAGTGTTGACCATTGGTGTTTAAAACATCACCAAGAGTCAGATAAGAAAACCCAGTACTAGAAAGGAGAAGGGACATGCCTAAGGGAAGAAGAAGGGTTCTAGTTGTTGGGATAACTAGAGCCAACTTAGAATGCCCATGATTCTTTTTCCTTAATTCTTTTAAAAGTCAGGCAATGTTTGTATATCTTTATGGTAGTACAATAACTTACTATATGTATATAATGGTCAAATAAAAGCACTTTTTATCTCATCAAACATCAATAAGTTCATGTATTGGGAACTGTTTTTTTTTTTTTTTTTTTTTTTTCCTTTTGATCTTTTTGAGACAAGGTCTCCCTGAAGCTCCAACTGGCTTGGAACTCACTGGTCTGAGTTCGTGGTCAGGCCTTGAACTCAAAGAGATCTGCTTGCCTCTACCCCCCAAGTGCTGGGACTAAAGGTGTGTGCCACCATGCCCAGCATGGTGGGAACTTTTACAGTCTTCTAATCATTTTGAAAAGTATCATAGATTGCTATAACCAAAAGTTCCCCTACTCTGCTGTAGAAAACCAGACCTACCTAAACTGTGTTTCCACGTCCTTCATCTAGCTTCTTTCTGTCTGCCTGCCCCTGCATTTCCAGGTCCCTACTGAGCACTCATCCACTCCTTTCTTCTCAATGATGGAAAACATGGTAACTTACATGATTTTTTAAAAATATTTTATTTATTATTTTTATTTTGTGTGTATGAATGTTTTGCCTGTATGTGTGTGAGTGTGAGAAAATAGTTTCTGGTGGTATATGCTGTACTTCCAGGCTCTTAAGAAATGAATGCTTAAAGAGAACCCACGTCATTCAATGCCCACAGAGGTCAGAAGAGAGCTTCTGATCCCCTGGAACTGGAGTTATGGATGGTTGTTAGCCACCATGTGGATGATGGAAACCAAACCCGAGTCCCCTACAAGAACAGCCAGTGCTCTTAACCACTGAGCCATCTCTGCAGTCCCAAGCTGCAATGTCAAGCTGTATCTACTTGTTTATACAACCATTGATTCTTCTATATTTCTTTTGTATACTTAGTAATACAACAAATATTTCCTGATCATCACAAGTCTCTTCATTAAAACCTATCACTGACAGACATGGGTTTTAGTCCCAGCTCTCCATTAGTTCACACTTGAAGCCAGGGACAAAGTGACTTTTCTTTAAACATTCATTTCTCAAGAGACTGGGTAAGATGCCTCTAAGGTCCTTCCAGAACAATCTCCTGTTTGCTCTCCATTCTGCTGCAGGACTGGGAGGACACCAACATGCAAAGTGATAACTCTTGCCTTGTAGGAGCTTCTAGTCAAGTGGGAAAAAAACAAACACAACTGGTGCGCACCTGTTGCCCCAAGCTGAGGTATAGCATATACCACCAGAAACTATTTTCTATTCTAGTAAATTTGATGTGATGTCTACATCCCAGGGTTGGCAAGAGAGTTGATGTCTCTTCTTTCCTTCCCCAGAGGGATGGATGATCATGAATAAGAACTTCAAATAAAGTTGAAAACCAGTAGCTGTTTGGTAAAATGAAGCCTATACAAGTGTTTTATTTACACCAAGATGAGTTTTTAAAAATTTAAGTCAGGATTTAGTTGCTGGGAATCTTCTCATTAGAATTCAGATCTCTGACTTCCCTTCACAAAGTTCATGATCTAGCAAATCTAGACAATGGCATCTAATATCTTAGAGCTTTGCTTTAACTTTGAGAATTAATGTTTTATCTTATTTTTAAATGTTTATTAATGTATGTTAATTACAAAAAATAACGGGATTCATCATGACATTTTTACAAATGTATATAATATGCTTTGCACATATTTACTTCCCTATCCTGCTGGGCTCCTCCCTCTTCCCAAGTAGTCCCTTTATACCTTCATGGATTTTTTTTTTTTAATCTAGATCCTACATGTGAAAGAAAACACAGTATTTATCTTTCTGAGTCTGGTGTATTTCACTCAATATGAAGATGTCCAGTTCCTGAAAACCGCATGATTTTGTTCTTCATGGTTGAATAAATTCCATCATATATATATAGCTGCCATATTTTCTTGATCCATTCGTTCATCTGTTGATGGGCTCCTAGTCTGATTCCACAACTTGCCTACTGTGAATTGTGTTGTGATAAACATGGATGTGCAGCCATTTTAAATACAACACCCATGTGAAATTCTCCAAGACAAAAAATTTAAATAATATGATACACTACCTTTGAGTAGATGGAAAAGTTTGGTTTTATCCTGCAATAGACCATATGAGCACAAGGGAAATATCTATCACGACTTCTCAGTCATTTTAAAAATTTTGATGGAAAAAAAATGAGAGAGGTTTTGTAATACTGGATGGATGAGATGGGTGGATAGAGATTAGATAGATAGATGATAGATAGATGATAGATAGATAGATAGATAGATAGATGATAGATAGATAGATGATAGATAGATAGATAGATAGATAGATAGATAGATAGATAGATAGATAGATAACAGATAGATTTAAATGTCACAACACAGTGAAAATCAATGAAAATCAGGCATCTGTTTTAACCTTGCTAGGATCAGCATGCTTTGCTATTTTATTGGGAGAAGTGTTTCTAGACCAGGACAAATTACATGTAATGCCATCTCTGTCTCTGTGAGGAGATTTGCGTTAGTGACTCCAGGTCTTATTGTGACAGGCCACTAAGTTGGATCCCTGAAGGAAAGAAATCTCTAGTTCATAGAATTTTCCAAATACTATGTATAACTGATCCCATCGTGACTAAATTACAAGCTCCTTTACCCACTGACTCCCTACATGTCTGAAGTTCTAGCTATTCTCTCTTGTGAGCCGGTGTAGTGCTCTAACACCCTGTCTAACTTGAGGACATGGTAATGTCCTATTATGCTACTTCCCTCTGACGCAGAGCCCCAGGAAGGGAACAAGAAATATGAGACATAAGCCATGACTGCCTTCAGAAATCCTGATCTAGTTCGGGAGATAAAGCTAATGCCTTTGCAACCATCAGAGGGTGTTTTAAGATCGATTAGAGTCCTCAAAAATCTCTATTTGAAAATCTATCAAGAACATAAAATTTATTACTTTCGAAACAAGATTCTTAAATGTCTTCTAAGCTCTATTATATTCCACCAGTATTTCCATCTTAACAGTTCCTTCCACCAAGCTCACCAGCTTAAAGATAGGGAAACACCCCTGATTCCTTTCTAATTCTCAATCTCCTTTTCCATCCAGAAGTGCATCAACCTAAAATAGGCCCATTAACTCTCACCTAGAGTGCTGTTCATTTGTTTCCTGCTTCCCTGGTCAGCTCCTCATATTCACTTCACGAGAGACAGCCAGAGGGATCCTGTAAGAACGCAGATCACATCATTTACTTGCCTGCTTCCTATCGATAATCCAAGGCCTCCCACTGAACTCACAATGGAAGTCCCATTCCTCCACATGGGGGGCTCATGGCCACTCCTGATTCCATCCTTGATCTCCTGTCTGCTTTCTGGCTGGCACCTGCTCCTTGAGCCTTCTTTTAATCCCTCTCTATTTTGAAGTCTTTACATTATCCCTGCTTTTGCTCACCATTGCGTCTCTGCCAATGATTTCTTCTTTTTGTTCCTGAACATTTGTCATGACCAGATCCTTCTAATTCTTCAGATACCATTTTAAATGTCATCTTTTCAGAGAAACCATCTCTGCCCACCCTACCTAGCACAGTCCATGCTTCCTGAGCAGTAATTTGCATTCCATCAACCAATCAGATATCTATCATACATGCTGTTTACTTCTTCTTTTCATACCTTAATATTTCTGTCTTCTGCCTAGTTCAATGCTTAATACATAATTATTTGTTAGACAAATTAATAATTAAAGGAATGACATTAAAGGTGAAGAACTCTGATTATTCCAAATTTTCTTCTGGCACTAGCATTTTACAAGTCTGTGGCTTAAGAGTATATTTTTGTACTTACTGGTGTGGTTCCACCTCTTAAAGTAGAGCAGAATTCAGAGGACAGGGAGATGAATGAAGACACCAGCATTCAGCAGCAGTCAAGGGGGGCTCCCTGGAGGAAGTGCTCTCCATTTCAATTATTTACTGCTCCACTGTTCTTAAAATGTCATTATATTTGTAAGAATTTGATGGGCACACTTTTCAGGAACATCTAAACTGCATTGTCCTTAAATGAAAGTGTGTGTGCGTGTGCGTGTGTGTGTGTGTGTGTGTGTGTGTGTGTGTGCTGATTACTAGATTTAATTTGACACAGATAAAGAACATGTAGAATTTGCCCAGAGGCCCACTGCCTTGACCCCCTTCACTGGCTCCATATCAGAAGGAAGGATCTGTTCCACACCTCAGAGAAGACCCACTTAGGACAGGAAGTGAGTCATATCAAGGACCTATGATAGGTTGAACAATACTAAATGTGAAACAGATTATGTTGGAACAAAGTCATGATATGTTTGTTCCTTCCCACACAATATGACATTTCATAACCTCTTAGTACTTTGCCCTGAAGCTTTCAGAGGCCTACAAAGATTACCTGTCTGATCCTCTTATTCTATGAAGGGGGAACCTGAGGCCCAAAGAAGTCAAGTGGCTGATCCAAGTTCATACAGAATACTTTGAGTGGAACCAGCAGCATTCAGTCCCTGACCTGAATCTAAGTCTTATGCTCTGTAGAAATATACATGCAAAAAGACTGCTAAAGACCCATCATATTTTTGTTCATTTTTATACGTACTTTGGTATTTATTAACTGTGTGTGGTTGAAAAAAATTAAGTTCAGGTTGGTGAGACGGCTCAGCAGTTAAGAGCATGTGGTGTTCTTCCAGAAGATCTGGGTTCGATTCCCAGCACGTACATGACAGCTAACAACCATAAGTAGCTCCAGTTCCAGGGACTTCAACACTTCCTTCTTGCCTCTGCTGGCATTGCACACGCATGGTGCACTTATATACAAGTGGGCAAAACACTCATACACAGAAAATAAAAATAATAAAAATTTTTTTAAAAATTAAAAAAATTTCTAGCAAGTGACCTCTAGTGATATTGGGATTCCTGGATATCCCAAAGGAATCATCTTGAAATGCTAAAGAAGTCATCCCATGAAGAAGTGCATGCCAACTTACAACAAGAGCGAACGTTATTTCAACTCTCAGTAAAGTACTATGTCATTTTAAGCAAGCCAAGGAATGAATGTCTCATTTTTCTATCTATAGTTAAAATCACTTGCAGTTCCCAGTAACTTAAAAGTTGTTTTAAAAGGTGGTACAAGGAAGCATGCCAGTCTGTGATCAGTTACATGAAGTCTCTGTGAGTGGAGGATGAGATATTAAGAAATAATGAAAGGGAATGTATGAAACTTTTCAACTGCCAAGTGCACAGCTAGGGGTTAGAGTGTAAAGGTGTGCCAAGACAGGTCCATTTAAAGGTGATGGTGCTTGATGGCTGGCAGGAATCCTATGGCAGGTTCCTATATTTACACCCAGTCTGAGAAGATGCAAAAGACCCCTCAAGTTGTAGGAAGAGTTAGAAACAAAACCCAACTCCTCACAGTTCAGCCTTTCTTGGATCTATCTCCACTGTCTCAAGTTCCAACAACCATGATGCCAAAGCACAGACCTGAGCCTACAGTCAGGACCTGTGCCGCAGAGTCCATTCTGAAGCAGCTTTGGCCAGTGATCCTTAGAACTGGAGTGTCCAGAAACCATGGCGGAGGTGGGGTGGGGGGATGAGGGGCGCTAACAGATACTTGACAGAGCATCTGATTTCCTAAGTATGGGAGAGCACTCAAAACCAGCACTTTAACAAGCACTCCCAGCTCATCCTGACACAGCTAGACAGTGGAGCAAAGGTACTGAAATCCTGCCAGCCTTAGATACAGCCTCCTCTGTCCTTTGGGTCTTAGTTTCTCCACTACTGAGAAGATACTGGTCCAAGATCATCTCTGAGTTTTCTTCCTGATCCAGGCAATGAAGCTTTGAGAACTGCCTGTCCCTTGCCTCTAGGTTGCCTTGGTAGTTCAAATAGGCCATATACTTACAGATACATTTGACTCAAGCACAGTTCATTCACACAGAACTGTGAACTGTGAGTGGCTGAGGGCCCCCAGCTGGTTCCATGCTGCACACCACCCACAGTGTGCTGACTGTGACTTGTTTTCTTCAACAAGCCCAGAACACAATCAGTGTCTATCCCTAAGTGGGACCGCCACAGCTCATTGCCTGTCCTTAGCAGGAATGTCTGGGGGGCGGGGGGTGGCATGGTTCTATGCAACGTGTTCCCTTCACAGACCTGAAGCCTATCACATCTTCTCCCTCAAGCCTATCTGACAGGAGGATGTTCTAGGTTAATTAGATTGATTACACAGAAGAAACAAACCCTGAAAAGAAAGTGAGCTCCTTAAAGATTAGGGACACACGCAGAGGTGTGTTTCCTTAAAGTGTTTTAATAATTATATGTGGCAGTTACAAAATTCTTCTTCAACATTTGCAAATCCTGGAAACTGGAGAGCCAGCTGCTGTAGCTTGGCCTGCTACTAATCACATTCATGATGCATCTGTTTCCTCCAGGAAATAAATCTGGTTCATTCCAATTCCCCCAAACTACAACTTGTCCTGGCAACAGCTCCCCCTACCTATATTGTCCATCCTTCTTTGCTGTGGCCCTTCCCCAAGTTCAAGACTTCCACAAATACCTAATTTCTACATCTTCACTCTGGAGTCTCTCTTTGAAGTCTCTTGAGCATTGTGTTTTAAGCTTCAGTCAATCAGTCACCTTTTTGCTTCTTCAAATACTACTTTTGCTTCTATACCCTTTATGAGGTGAGAAGGAAAAGCTGTTGACCAAGCCACAAAATATGTGGCAGAAAGAGGTGTCTACCAAGGGAAAACCACAAATTCTCAAAGTACTTGTAGAGTGCTTATTGGCCAAAGGCAGCTGGTGGTATAGGGCAGGAATGCCCACAGGCTAACAGCCAAATCAAGTTTTCTCAACTTCCATTGACTGGCATATGTATGAGCCCTCTAATTTCAGGTGAAATTATGATGATATGTTGATATGTCATGATATATACTTTAAGGAAAATTTTCATATATATCAAAATTATAATGAATCAACCCTGTTAAAATGGCATCAGCAAGAAGTTAATTTCTCTTTCTATCCTTTATGAGGAAAAGTGCTTCTGGTCAGCAAGAGAAATTTAATGGTCTCAAACTGGGTGTGCTGGATAGCTTTGGTGTCAACTTGACACACCTGGGTTGAGGGAGCCTCAATTGGGGAATTGCCTCCATTGAAATGGCCTGTGGCCATGTCTGTGGGGCATCTTCTTGATTGTTGAGTGATGTGGGAGGGCCCAGCCCACTGTGGGTGGTGCCACTCCTGGGCAGGTGGGCCTGTGTTGCCTAAGAAAGCGGGCGGAGCAGAGGCCAGGAGAGCAAGCCAGTAAGCAGCATTCCTCCATGGCCTGTGCTCCAGCTCCTACCTTCAGGTTCCTGCCCTGAGTTCCTACCTTGGGCTCCTGGATGAACTGTGACCTGGGATATGTAAGCTAAATAAACATTTTCCTTCCTAAGTTGGTAGTGGTCAGGGTATTTTGTCACAACAGTGAAGAACAAACTAGGACACTGGGTTAATATTATTTCAGACTAAGCAAAGAAATGTGGCGTTTTTTTTTTTTTTTTTTTTTAAGCTTACAGAACTTTAACATCAATGTGGCCCATCATAACATTCTGGCCATTTCTATTTGAAATTTAACATCAATATGGTTGATCACATAGGGTATTTCTATTAGAACTTTAACATCAATAGGGCCCATCATACACTGTTTCTATTAGGACTTTAACATCAATGTGTTGGGGTTCTATTAGACTTTGGAAATACTGAAAATATTTTGAATTCATGCTCCACTGATTTTGCCTTGAGCACCAAAAACGGTGGCATTTTCCACTTTTCCTATCAGAAACATCACCTTGCCCTCAGTCCCATCACTCACCCAGCTTCATTAATGGCCATGAGGACAAGGCCAGTCAGAGTATAGTTCCCTTTTGGCTGTAAGGATCGTCAATCAATAATGATCTTTGATAGATAAACATAATGCTCTTTTGAAAAATTAGAAAAGAAATAATCATTCATTTCACCTGAGTTTGTGGCCAGCCACATTGCTTCCTTGAGGAGGTGGGCCCCAGCAGCAAGCCTACAGGGAAGGCAGAGACCAACAGCAACTCCAGAGCTTGGACTGTCAGGACTGAAGCTGGTTCTGTCCCCCGAAATATGCATCCACTCCATCTCCATTTCTTTTTCCCTTTATTTATATGAAGGCAATTTCAGTTGGGCTTTTGTCGTTTACAACCAGATAAATTCTATTTAATACCTCCTTCAGCCACTACTACTAAACAGATCCATATACTCCAGGAATCCCTGGATGAGAATCACTAACCAACCACGAAAGTGATCAAATCTTTTTCTATTATTATTTCCTTATTTTATGTGTGTGTTATGCCTACATGTATGAAAGTGCACCTGTGTTGTGCAATGCCTGCGGAGGTCAGAAGAGGGCGTCAGATCCCATGGAACTGGAGTTATGGACAGTTGTTAGCCACCATGTGGGTGCTGGGATTCGAACCCAGGTCTTCTGCAAGAACAGCCAGTGCTCTTAACCACAGAGCCATCTCTCCAGCCCTGAAAGGGATCAAATCTTAATTTCAAACCCCTGAGATCACTGATTCACAGTAACTGAGAACTTAACACAGAAAAACGTTTTCCTAAGATCTACAAGAAACCAGTTTTGCTTGTCCATTACTTTTACAAACTACATGTAACTAAGAAGAGGATATGGTTAATTCAAGGGCCACAGTAGGAAGACTTAAGAGCCATTAAAAAATGCAAGAGAGAGTGCAATGAGAGTTGAGGAAAGAGACAGAAATTTCTGGAAGGCATTCTTAGAAGGCTTTAATGGCTGGAAGATACTGTGGGATCTGACAGGTGAGGCCAATGACTTGTCAAAGATCACTGGAGAGTCATGCCAGAGCCCTGGTCTCTGCAGACCTGATTTATAACAGCTGAAATGAACCAACATCTTTATTTCAATTCCCTAAGCAAGAGCAAGAAGATTCTGGAATTATATTTTCAAAGGGCTATTTTTTATCTAGCCCTAAATTTTAAGGAAATGAATGTTACAGTGCTGAGTTACAAAGGTACGGGAGACTTCTGCTGGTTCTTTAGCAAGAGCCATCAATGCCCCACAAGATGCTCTGTGCTCATGCACACATACCACAGAGAGAGAGAGAGAGAAGAGAGAGAGAGAGAGAGAGAGTGAGAGAGAGAGAGAGAGAGAAAATTATACATATATATGCACATGCACGTATAATCAGCATATGAGAGAAAATATGTGATATTTGCCTTTTTGAGTTTGTGTTTTTCCCCATTATAATAACCTCAGATTGCATCCATTTTCCTGAAAATATCATGATTTCATTGTTCTTTAAAGCTGAATGAAATTCTGTTGTGCATCCATTGTATATATATATCACACTTTATCCATTCATCTATTGATGAAATCTAGGCTGGTTCTATTTTTTAGCCACTGTGACTATGGTAGCAATAAACATGAATATAAAGCTATGTCTATAGTATGCTGAATTAAAGTTTTTCAGGTATAGAGTTGAAGGGTGGTATAGGTGGGTCGCCTGGTAGTTCTGCTTTTAGTTTTTTCTTCCATGGTGGCTACACAAGTTTACATTCTCTCAAAAGTATATGAAGTGTTCCCCTTCTCCCATATCCTCCCCAGCATCATTTGCCTTTTTAAGTTTATTTTTATTTATTTTTGTTTTTTTTGTAATGTTTTCTTGATGATAGCCATTCCAACTGGAGAGAGATGGGATCTCAACAGTTTTAATTTTCGTTTCCCTGATGACTAAGGATGCTGAATACTTTCAAATACCTATTGGCCACTCATGTTTCTTCTTTTAAGAACTGTCTGTTCAGGAGCTGGAGAGATGGCTTAGTAGGTAAGAACACTATCTGCTCTCACAGAGGACCTGGGTTGGGTTTCCAGCACCCACATGGTGGCTGACAACCATCTGTATCTCCAGTTCCAGGGGATCTGACTCCTTCTTCTGGCCTACATGGGAATTGCATGACATGGGAGCACTTACGTATATGTGGCCAAGGCACTCATACACATAAAATAAAAAATTTTTAATTTAATTTATAAGTAATAAATAAAATTTTAAAAAGAGAACTGTTCAGTTCATTAGTCCACTTATTGACTGGATGATTTGTCTTGGGAGTGTTTAATTTTTCCAGTTCTTTATATATTTCTAGATGTTATCCTCTATCTGTATCTGATATGTAGATGGTAAAGATTTTTTTCCTCTTTGTATACTGTCTCTTTGCTCTGCTGGTAGTTTCCTACACTGTGAAGAAACTTTAGAATTTCATGTAATCAATGTATCAATTCTTACAGTTATTTTTGTGTCACTGGAGTCTTTTCCATAAATGTCTTTCCTATACCAATATCTTAAAGTGTTTTATCTATGCTTTCCTCTAGCAATTTCAAAGTTTGGAGTCTTACATTCAAATGTTTAATCCGGTTGAATTTGTTTTCATTCGAGGTGAGAGATATAGATTTATTTTCATTCTTCTAAAGGCGGAAATCCAGTTTTTCCATCATTTGTTGTAGAGTTTTTCTCTGATTTTTTTTTCTTTTTTGGCGTTATAGACTGTTGTTAGCCACCACACCAGTGGTGCTGGGAACTGAATCAAGGTTCTCTGTAAGAACAGTCAGTGTGCTTAACCACTGATTTCTTTCTTGGCAATTTCATTATCATTACAAAGAAAGGCTACATATTTGTATGTCTTAATTTTGAATCCTGTTACTCTGATGAACATGTTTATCAGATCTAACAGTCTTCTGGGAGAGTAATCAGGGTCTTTGAACTATAGAATCATGTTGTCTACAAATAGGAATACTTGGACTTCTTCCTTTCTACCTCTTGTATTTCTTTCTCCTCTTTTATTGCTCTAGCTAAGACTTTTAGCATTGTGTTTCTTATTAATGATGAGAGTAGCTGCCACTGCCTCGTTTTGATTTTAGAGGAATGATTTCAGTTTTTCTCTATTTCATATAATATAATCTATACATGTGTTGTACATAGCCCTTATTATTTTGAGGTATTGTCCGGTTTTTTCTCATCTTTTATCATAGCATCATGCTGAACTATGTCAAAGGCCTCTTCTGCATGTATTAGGATGATCATGTGAATTCTGTTCTTAAGCCTATTGATGCATTTATTACATTTACTGATTGGCATATATGTTGAACAAAATTTGAATTCCAGGGACAAGGTATAGGATCTTCTTAATGTGTTGTTGGATATTGCAAGAATTTACTGAGAATATTCATCAAGAAGGTCTATTGTTTTCTATGCTTGCTATACTCTTATCTAGTATTTTAGAATGAGTTTTGTAGTATTCTTCCTTCCTTTTCTGTTCTGTGGAACAGTTTAAGAAGTGTCGATGTTACCTCTTAATATAATTCAGCAGTGAATCACCTAGTCCTGGAGGTTTCTTTGTGGGAAGATATTTTATTGCTGCTTAAATCTCATTGCTTGTTAAAGATCTGCTTAAGTTGTTTATGTCTTCATAATCTAATGTTGGTAGATCATATATGCCTAGGAATGTATCCATTTCTTATAAATTTTCCAGTTTATGGGGGTATATTTGTTACTTTTCTGCTGTTATGATAAAACACCATGACCAAAGCAACTTAAGATTTTATTTGCCTTACAGCTCCAGAGGGCTAAGAGTCCATCATGGCTGGGGAGGCACGGCAGGAGGCAGCTGGAGTAGGAAGCTGAGAGCTCACATCTTCCAGAAGGCACAGGAAGTAGAAAAAGAAACTGGAAGTAGGGCAAGGCTATGAACTCCAAAGCCTGCCCCCAGTAATGCGCTTCCTCCAGCAAAGTCATACCTCCCCAGACCACGTGTTCAAATACCTGAGCCTACAGGGGACACTTATTCAAACTGCAGCAAGATGATACAAGTTTTTTAAGTATTCCTTAATGATCCTCTGGAGTGAATCTGTTGTAACTGCTCCCCTTTTTCATCTCCAGTTTTGGGGGAGTTAAATATTTTATTTATTATTTTTATTTTATTTTATGTGTATGAATGTATTGTCTGCATGTAGGTAAGTGCACCCATGTTGTGTAATGCCCACGGAGGTGAGAAGAGGCTGTCGGATCCCTTGGAACTGGAGTTATGGACAGTTGTTAGCTACCATGTGGGTCTGGATTCAAACCTGGGTCTTCTGCAAGAACGGTCAGTGTTCTTAACCGCTGAGCCATCTCTCCAGCCTCCTCATCTCCAATTTTTATTGAAATATTTATTTTATTTTATTTTTGAGGCTTAATTTGATCAGTTTTATTAGGGGTTTGGAAATCTTGTTTATCTTTTTAATGAGCTTACTTTTTATTTGGTCAATCTATGTACTGTTTTTTCTTTCATTCTCTATTTCATTAATTTCTGTCCTGGTCTTTATTGTTAGTTGTTAACTGCTGCTTTGGGGCCTGGCTTGTTCTTAATTTTCCAAAGTCATGAGTTACATCATTATTTATTTGAGATCTCTGTTTCATTTTGTTTTATGTAAGCAATCACAGTTATAAAGCTTACTCTTAGAATTACATTAACTATATACAAAGGATTCTGATAAGTTGTGCTTCAGGTTCATTGGATTCTAGGAATATTTTAATTACTTAAATGACCCACTATTCATTCAAGGGTATACTGTTCAGTATCCATATTTTTGTATAGTTTCTGTAGTTTCTTTTGTTATTGATTTCTATAATCTGATGAGATACATGAAATTACTATTTTGATTTCTTTTGGTGTTTATTAAGACCTGATTTGTAACCTAGAATGTGGTCTATTTCAGAGGTTCCAGGGACTGCTGAGAAAAACACGTATTCCATTTCTGCTGGATGGGATTTTCTGTAAATATTTGTTACATCCATTTGATCTATGGTGTAGTGTCCTAGTTTGCTCTCTGTTGCTGTGGTAAACACCATGACCAACAGCAACTTGAGGAGGAGAGGGTTTATTTCATCTTACAGATCACAGTCCATCATCCAGGGAAGTTATGGCAGGAACTCAAGAGAGGAATCTGAAACAGAAACCATGGAGGAATGCTGCTTATTGGCTCACTTCCCCTAACTGGCTCAGCCACCTTTCTTATACAGCCCAGGCCCACCTACCTAAAGATGGCACCACCCACAGTGACCTGTACCCTCCCACAATAAAAC